CATACTCTGAGCAGTGTAACATACACAAAGTACGATTTTGTGCGTTTATTGCGACAAAATCCCAACAATATCAGTACGGATAACTAGTGTAACAAGAAACAGATAAAAACGGAGGAATAAAAACTTCAAACAATTAAACGAGACGCAGTGAGTAATCTGGATCTACGATAAGAAACTTGCCTCTAACGAGACAATTTTATAGATCGTTTTGAAAGGTCTTCTGAAAAAATCAGCGGACCTTCAAATACATCTCAAAAATCACGACTCCTTCAGATCAAAGTTCACTCAAATTAGGCTTAAAACCTCGGATATGACATATACAAATATTAAAAGCAAAATAACCAAATCCCTACCAAATATGTTAACGACATTACTATGTAAAGTCAAAAAAGGGCGAGTTTCAAAGAAGTTTGTAGCTAAAAACCGGTAATTTGAAGGGTTTCATAAACATCCAATTGTCAGTGAATTCCAATATATACAAAAAATGTGTTCAGATGAAGTGGTCATCACGACCAAAAATTGAGCATGGAAACAATAACAATAACAGTCTCAAACCTGTAGATATCATGCAATGAACCGAAAGTGGCAAAAGATCTACATATTATTAGAAAGCTCACTGATAAACAAAGAATAATTCCACGCACAAGTAAAAATCAGTATGAACGATGTCTGCTAAAACAAGAAAAAGCGAAAGAAAACCCGCATCTATTCTTCACAAAAAAAATGGTACGGTGAGGATTACCTAAACTACAAATGGATCCCCACACGTCATAGCTAAGAATCATCTCTAACAAATAAATTAAGGAAACAACAAGCTCTAGAATACAAACTTTTCTGGAAAATATGCAAAGATAAGATGAATAATAAAAAAAATAACAAAAGGCTTGATAACGCATCTTTCGACTTCAAACTAATTGGGGCGAAGGTAATGCGGTCACAGGATCCAAAAGCGATAAGACTATAGATCTGTAAAGTGAGGAGTGGTAGAAGCCCAAATTAGGCTAAAGTAAAGGGGATTGCAGAAGCCAAAAGCACTCCCTGCATGCGAAAAGATTCACCTTTCTTTAGTAACCTACAAACGATTGCAGAGATGCAACTAAACACTACTTCAAATCGCTGTAAAAAGCAAATAATTGAAAAAGTGGCTACAAACCTTTATAAAACTTCGCCGTCTTCTAATTCGTCATTAGCAGGCGGTACAGGAGGCGGTGGCAGCACCATTCGAGAGGAGTAATCTAAATCCACAAACCTTGTTAACAGTTAAACTGGTTTGGGAAACCACTAAATTATGAACTATTACAAACTTCTATTGGTTGAAGGTGGTGGAGGAGGTGAGATTGGACGCTGAGGCCGCTTCATGTATGCAAAAGTCGAATTTGAATTCGAGTTACCAGCATTTGGACTAACTTCACTAGGCACCTCATTAGGTGGAAGAGGTATTGATGCAGTGATATTCACATCTCTAACTTTCCCCCGCGATGAAAGATGCTGCTATAAGACCAAGAAAATGAATAAAACCACAACTAGGAACCGAAAAACCTTTTCTTGAATTAAATGAGTAGGACATCAACGCATGAACACTTTAAAAACGCTTGAAACTTTAGACTCAAAAAACATAAAGAGCATGTCCAGAGTTGAATCTGATGTATTCCGATTTGAGAGCTGCTGCAAAATTTTCAATTTTCAAGTCATGTAATTACCAAAAAAAAGTTAAAAACGGAGGCAGCGTAGGTCAAAATATTCATTTTCTACCTAAAATAGAAATGTTACCTGTACGATTCGCTAAAACCAAGTGGAAGCATATGCGGAAAGAACTTTTGAAGGACCGCGGTTACTAATGACCAATTTAAGACTGACTAATATAAGGGTCTAAATTGAAGATGTTCTTTCTGATCTAACTAGGATTTTAAAAAAAAATCTTTTATTTCGGTAAATACTATCTAATTTCAAAGACAAGACTGTTCCTTTTAGCTTTCGGCCAAGTCAAAATATTCTGACCTCAAATGGCTATATTACTTTTGCGGTTTGCTTATAGCTAATGACCTTTGCCAGTTGCCGTACCACTCAGAAAAAGAAGTAGCATTAATAAGAATTAACTCTCAATGTAATCTCACAACGCTCACTTCCAGTGTATATCACTGAATGCAAAAAATTCCAAGCGTTTCTCTTAAATGTCCGCATGGCGCTAGTCCTCTACCAACACTCCGCGGAATTTCGGAGTAACCCCATAAGGTAAATTTTCAAAACGCACAAGACAAATTCGCAAAATTACGCCATAAAATGCAAGAAAGCGAAACACCAAATACCTTTTGGTTACTTGAGGTATTAGAGTTAGCGGGACTTGAAGTCCTTATGGAGCTACGTGAGTCTGGATTCAACAAATGTGGGTTACCAGAACGATGAGAACCTTCTACACCTCGAGAAGAGACCCTATGCTGCTGCGAAGAATATGACGACGAAAAACTGTTAGAGTTACCAACAACGTTTTTACTGCCACTACAAAAAAGCAACTGATATCTCAAGATGGCAACTACTCCACAAAATAGCGTCGATTGCTTTATACCAAAAACAAAGTAAAAAAACACAACAACTTGCCTCGGAAGAGGTATGTTAGCGGTATTCTGCAGGGAACTAGATGGTGCAGAGCTACTCAGTTCCCCTTGGGGTCGCACTTTTTTAACACTGTAAGACGAGTCACGTGCTTGCGAGGAACTGAAGAAAGTTTTTAAAGATGCAATTTCCAAAAATAACAGATGAAAGAATCTAGAAAAAGTGGTGACGGAATAAACTGACTTAATTTCCAAGTAATTACTGACCTGTACTGCGATGGTACAGAATTAGAAGATTGTTCTTGACTCGTCGTCCTCTCATGAGGCCGTTTCCGATGATGTGAATTATCTTACAACAAAGAAAATTAAGGAACCCATAGGCGTTATGATGAAACAGGTAACCCTAGAAGCCATATTGGCCATTTAGTTTGAAATTACTAGTTGTAACCTTCAACACGGCGATGTTTGAAGGGATCCTTCTCAATCATTTCTGAGCGACGATGTTTCATTTCTCTTTCTTGTACCTCCATACGCCGGTGCTTGACAGGATCTCTTTCAATATTTTCATAACGTCTTTTCTGGGACTGAAGACTATCCTGATCATTTACGGATGGCTGCTTTTTCTCTGTTGCTAAAGAACCAGGTTAATAGACAAATAAATCGAAAAAAAGCAAGTAAAAGAACCGGCAAATAATCTACGAAAGCCAAATAAAACAAACTTTTAACTAGCGCTGGTGGAAGAGGAAGGTCACCAACTTGTGTCATCTCAGGCTGCATAAAGTTGCGTCTCTGTGATGTCTGCTGGCTGCTATTCAGGTTGTTTAGGCCTCCTAAGCCAAAA